ATTCCATTTAAAAAACTTAAGAAAAATATAGAAGAAAAAATAAACTCTAAAATCCCAACAAAAGTCAACGATAATACTTAAATTAGTATTCTCATAGTAAACCTGAAAAATGATCTTGTTAAATAATAAAAGTTTATAAAATGAAAGAACAAATCAATTGATGGACAGAGAAAATAAAAGATTACCTGAAAAAATAAATTGTTGAAGCAAAAGGGTTTGAAAAATGAATAATATATCAAGTGATAGAGAGAAAGAATAATACCTAAATTAGTATTATGATAGTAAACCTGGATTTTTCATCTCTGTATTTAAAACATGAAATTCAATAGGATAAAGTTGTTTTGGTAATTTTAAAAAAATTTAACCTTCAACCTTTTCGTTTTCATTATTCGATAAAACAACCTTATTCTAATCAATTTCATTTTTTAAATATAGGGATGGAAAAGTCTTTTACATATATCAAATATTTTAAAAAATAAAAAATCTAAGAAAAAGAAAATAGGCTTCTAATGTTTGGAGGATAACACCTCATTATGATTTTTTTTAATTAAAAATATTAAAAAATAATTTTCAAGCTCAATGTTATAGAAGAAAAAAATCACAATAGACCAATCAACATCAACAAAAACCCATATCATATTGTTTTCTTGAATGACTCCTCAAATCAACAAAAAAAAAAAAAACAAATCACATCTACAAAAACTGAATAAAGAAGAAGAATTGAAAGATTAAGAGAGATTATTATGCTAAACAATGTTACCTTATTTCATCAAAGATTCATATGCCACTTTATCCACACACAAAAAAACTTCATATGCCTACATAATTCCAAATTTAGTATGAATTCTCCGACTAAAAGACGAAATACTATACTTACATAAGCAAAAACCCATACCATAATTTGTATTATTGAATGACGCCTCAAATCAACTAAAATGCAATTCGCCTCTACAAAATTATAACTGAATAGAGAGGAAGAATTGAGAGATTAATAGAGAGAATCATATGCTTGCATAATTCCAATTTTAGTGTGAATGTCTCCAATTAAAAGACTAAAATAATATACTTACATTAACAAAAACCCATATCATATTTTTCTTCTTGAATGACGCCTCAAATCAACAAAAATGCAAATCGCTTCTACAAAATTATAACTGAATAGAGATAAATAATTGAGAGATTAAAAGAGAGATTCATATGCTTGCATAATTCCAATTTTAATGTAAATGTCTCCGATTTAAAGATGAAAATAATATATTTACATTAACAAAAGCTCATATCATATTTCTCTTTTTGAATGACGCCTCAAATAAACAAAAATGCAAATCACCACTACAAAAACTGAATAGAGAGGAAGAATTGAGAGATTAAGAGAGATATTATGCTTAAATAATGTCACGTTGTTTCTTCAAGAATTCATATACCACTTTATCCACACACAAAAATTCATATGCCTCCATAATTCCAACTTTAATGTGAACGTTTCCGACTAAAGAGGTGTACCACAAAATTATACATGAATAGAGATGAAGAATTGAGATATTATTATAGAGGTGTACCATGAAGAGAAGACGAAATATTATAACCGAATAGAAAGAAATAATGAGAGTTAAAAGAGTAATTATTAGAGGGAACATGAATATGTTAAAACAACCTAATTAAAGAGTCTTAAATGTGAATATCAAAAATATAAAAAACAAATATTGAGATGGGAGAAGCTTGAGTAAAAGAGAAAAAAGATAAAGTGTTTTCTTGTTTTGAGAAGAGGTCACGTCATTGCATATGGTTTATGATTAATATATAAAATATAATTTAATAGTATGATATATTTTTTAAAGCAAAAATGCAAACCAGTGACTCGGTGCAATCCCAAAGGACCAAAATTGTAGTTTACTCTAAAACAAAAAACTAATGTCTTGATTAATGACTTAGGTAAATGACTTTATGTGGATCTTTTGAGTAACATCATGTCTTACGCCTAATATGTTTTAGCTGAATTTGACCGCTTCGACAAAACTTATTCGGTTTTTTGGTTTATTTCGTAATGTTTACCGATTTTTAGGATTTTAATCCTCGTTATCCTTTACTTTTTTCTCCAGGTTTCCTGTTTTGATTCATTGTACATCTAGGAGTTCTAAAATACACTTTCTTTGACATAAACAATCACTACATCACAATTTTGTTTATGAGACGCCATCAATAAATAAACGTTCTAATAGACCATTTTATATGACATAAAATATAGGTAAAAAAATAAAACGTTCTATCTAAAGACAATGTAATAAGTTACATGACGCTTTTGAGCGTCGTAACAAGTTTATTAGAACGCTTTTATAAAGAAAACTTCATATTAGCTATTTTATAGGACACTGTTTGAAAAAATATCTTATAAATATAAATGTCCTATAAATATGTTATAACCGGGTTTTCTACAAACCTGGGTCAAGGTAACCTTATGTGTTTAATACGTGAAATATGTGATTAACATGCATGATATTCTAATGCATGGATGGTATATGTGCAAAGACATGATGTATATATTAGTTTTGTGATTCATACATGAGATTTATGCATACATGTGATAAGATATTATATGAAAATAATATATATTAAAAATCAACCTTCATGGTTAAGAAAACCATGGGTTTTATAATAAATAAATCCACCATCCAAAGTTATTTCTATTGTATAAAGGATTTACCACCTATGAGTTTTATAATAATTAAAATAATCTCCACCGCCATGGTGAGAGTATTTAAAGAAAGAAAGAGATAAGATTCTATCTTATCACTTCATTTGGAGAAAAACCTGTTGAAATAGAAAAAGAGTGTTGTAGCGGTGAAAAGTGTTCTTGAAGAAATCTTTTGTTCAAAGCTGTTTGAAAAGCTTGTGATTTGTTGTGTGTTTTAAAACTGCAGAATCTGTGATTGTTAAGGAGAGTTTTTAAACTACCGTTGATTATAAACTGTAAGTTTTAAAAATTAAACTTTATGTCTTTGTTGTATATAAAATGCTGGGTTTTTGGTAGTTGATTGGAAGAAAAGATGGTAAAACTGTTTTAACAGTTTAAAGATGATATTGTTATAAACTTGAGTATTGGAAACTGTTTTAGGAAAGATAAAGAAGAGGTTGCTTCTTTAAAATAGTTTTGAAATGATATCATGTTGAAAGAATACAAAAAGGATTTGAGTTTGGAAATATTATTGCAAGAACTGGTTGTTCTTGAATATTCAGAGTTTTGATGATAAAACTATTTTGAAACTATTATTGGTTGAAAGCTATAAAGGATATTCCTTCGAGACGGTTGTGACTTCGACCTGTCTTCGTTTGGGATTAATCTATAGATTTTATGGATAAAACTATGAATAAGGATTCGATAAGATGGTTGTGATTGCGGTCCTTTATCCGAACTAGTTCATAGATTTTGAAGAAGAAATAAGGGTGGCATATCAAGGAGAGGTGTCTTTTGGGATAAGGGTGGCATATCAAGGAGAGGTGTCTTTTGGGATAAGGATGCATATTAAGGAGAGGTGTCTTTTGGGATAAAGGTGGCATATCAAGGAGAGGTGTACCTTTGGATATAAGGGTGGCAATTGTGTATGGATACTATAGCTCTTGCTATTATGTCTTTTAAAACTACAATAGATCTGAGTTCTTACATCTTTGTGATTTGAGAACTCAAAGATGTTGTTCTTATTAGAAATGATAGTATTGATGTTATTGAGAAGACTTGGCCTATGGCCATTGGTTTTGGTTAAAAGTGTTTTGGAACAGAATGTTCATTTTATGAGGAATCAGAGGGGCTTTGGTTGTTCCTTGTAAGGAACCAGAGGGGATCTGGTTGGACCTCAATATAAAACCAAGAGGGTTCTGGATGATGATTTGAAAATTATGTCTTTTACAAAGTTTTAGTTATGCCAGAGGCTCTGTATCTATTAGAAACGAGCTCTGTATCACATTTACATTTTTAAAAGATATTTCAAAGATTCTTTATACTTAGAATCTTTTTATGAAAAACAGACCAAAAGGGCTCTGGTTGGCTTATACGTTGAACCAGAAGCTCTGGTCGATCTTGTCTTTTGAACCAGAAGTTCTGGTTGTAGTACAACCAGAAGCTCTGGTTGTAGTACAACCAGAAGCTCTGGTCATATATGAACTCTTTTTAATCATTTTTAGTTATGAAAAATGTTATTTTATTACTTAAAAAGTTAGTCAAAGAACATTATGAGAAATTACTTGAGCAAGAGGCTCTGGTTAGTACAACCAAAGGCTCTGGTCGAGGAACCAGAAGCTCCGGTAGAGGAACCAGAGGGACTCTGGTCCTCTTATGAGTTGAAATATTTTCTAAGTGTGGTCTTTGGAACCAGAGGTCCGATGGACTCAAACAGAATATGTTCTAAGTGTGTTCTTTGGAACCAAAGGTCCGATGGACTCAATCAAAATGTGGTTTTATCCTTCATTATATGAAATGGTTTAAATATTTTGGTGATCTTCACCCTGCATTACATAAAAAGGGAACCTCACTAGACATTCATGTGTAACCCTCATTTTGTATTTTCAAATATGTGTTAAGGTAATGATAATAAGGGAAAGAGCATTCTATGATGTAACACCCCAAACTCCACATTGCATATAACACATATTTCATACATTAAAATACATGTTCAAACCCACATAGGTCCAAAAATACAAGAGATTACATTATAAAATATACAACTCAAAAATTTCGAATATAAAATAAAACAAAATTTCATTATAAAAATTTCAGTTACATTAATAATAATGAACTGCAATACCTGGTTTGGTTTTTTATAACTTATGATGCCTCACATAGAATCACAGCAATGCACTTTTAAGACCCATAAAAATATCCCACTATGCCAGGGCGATAAAGTGGAAGTTAAACTATTGTCCGGATGTAGTGCTAGTTTGTACCATACAAGCTAATGATGCATCGAGGTTGGCTCAAAATCTTGATGAGAGTTTGTTATATATGGTACCTGTTTGATGACAATAACAACAGTTATACCACTATAAGAGAAATCTATATGTTCCATAAGCTTGATCTCCTTGTCCATGACTTTGAAGGCACTAAAACAGGCATCTTTCCAAATATGGAAATCCTTGAAGTCAAACTCATCATCATGCTCAATTACCGTTTTGCCCTTGATTATGGTGGAATTTCTTTGGTTAACAATCAATGATGGCAACATGTTTCTCACAAATTTGCTCACTATTTGACCATTCCTTCCATGCCCATCAAAAACCCCACCAAAAGCACCATTTTCCATTCCATAATCCTTCATCATAAATAACATTAAATTAGAGAATAACACTGAAAGTTGAGAGATACCCATTACATATAATGAAAATCCAACATGAAAAATCTTTTTGGTTAGGGCAACCAGCAATAAGAAACCAGTTTGAATCCTGCTAAGGCCACTGAAGATTTTCCGTGTTGTTCTTCGGTACGCCCTTGAGATTAGTGAGGCATGTGTAAGTTGGTCTGGACACCTACGTTTACCAAAAAATGAATCCAACATGGAGTCGGTAAAAAAGGAAATAAAGGATTGAAGATGGACAACCTGATAAAGAATAGCGGCATCTTGGTTGAAACCTTTGTATCCTTGATGAGTATGGAGGGAGCCAATTCTATGATCAGAAATGGTTTGTTGGTAATAAAAAACATGTTCATGGCCATAGTCTCTGTCATGAATCTCTGGAGATGCTCTCGATATGCAAATGCCCATCTTCAAACAAGAATGCAGTCCCAAAAATTATCAATATGATAAACTATTTGATATCAGAAATTATTTAAGCCTTTGCATGAATATTCAACCATTTTTGTTTGAGAAAGATTGCTACTAAAATGCCATCTGACCATGAAAATTCAACCATTTCTCTAACTTGAAGAAATTAAAGATAATAGTTCAAGAAACCACATGAGTATGAGAAATATTGCAAGAAATTAAAGATAATAGTTCAAGAAATACTTGTAATTCTGTATTCTCATATTTTTGCATCATGCATTGGTCATTTTCAACCAAAAAAACTTATTTTTGGAACTGTTTGATATCAAACACCAAGGAAACCAGGTTCTGAGTATTAACTAAGGTTTGCTTAAAGAAACTAAAGATAATAGTTCAAGAAACCACATGGGTATGAGAAATATTGCAAGAAATTAAAGATAATAGTTCAATAAATACCTGTAATTCTGTATTCTCATATTTCTGCATCATGCATTGGTCATTTTCAACAAAAAAAAAACTGATTTTTGAAACTGTTTGATATCAAACACCAAGGAAACCAGGTTCTAAGCATTAACTAAGGTTTGCTTAAAGAAATTAAAAATAATAGTTCAAGAAACCACATGGGTATGAGAAATATTGCAAGAAATTAAAGATAATAGCTCAAAAAAAACTTCAAAAGCTGAAAAGGGCATTACCAAACAATTTTGTTCAAATTCACATAGATCAAGAGGAACTATCACTGAAAAACATCAAAGAAACCACATGGGTTTGAGAAAGATTGTTTATTCAACCATTTTTGTTTGAGAAAGATTGTTTATTCAACCATTTATCTAATTTAAAGAAATTAACAATAATAGTGCAGGAAACCACGTGGGTATGAGAAATATTGCAAGAAATTAAAGATAATAGTTCAAGATATACATGAGATACCAACAGTTCAGTAGACAAGGGAAAAGATCATACCCCCAAAAGCCCAAGCAATCCCTTGAATACCAACAGTACCACACTGTATGGGAGATTTAACAACACCAAAAAAGAAGAGAAAGTTATTTAAAATCTCATCGGCAAAATTGAAATATAAATCAATATCGTTTTGAAGAGCATACCTCCAAATTAAAATTGAAATGAAAATTCTAGGGTTTTGAAGAACCTGTGAGATCAAAACATCAGGGAAGATGGAGTTATATGTATCAATGAGGTTGTGATACATCAAATCCCTTTGATACATGAAATCGGACATCTGATCGAGGTGATACATCAAAACCACCATTGTTATGTCAAACGAGGTCTGTGAAGAAGAAAGGTATCTGCTATCTAACCCAAAATGTTTTGGTCGCATATGAGAAAAATCACAGAAGAAGAAAAAGGAAGGTTTTGGTTTTGGTGTTTTGGTCGCAGACATCAGATAGAGAAGAAGAAGAAGAAACCGGCCCAAATGAGTAATTTTACAAGTCTGATAATAAAAAGGTAGGTTTGACCCTAGTAAAATTTGGTGTTGTGGAAATACTTGCATAATATACCTTGTATATTGTGCATAAAAATTTGTAATTAAGAGATTAATGAAATTGTTGCATAAAATGATAGTACCTTATGCTTCAAGAATTGTAATTAAAACATTGACCTAAATACTTATTAATGTAGTATAGATATATATATATATATATATATATATATAATGATAATTAAATGAGAACTATAAAAAAAATTAAAAACCATAAGAACCAATTTCAATCGTGTTAAACTTTTGAGCCAATAATATTGTAAAATCTTTCAGTTTTAGTTCATTCAGGATACAATGGTAGTTTTAGTTTATTATGTCGTGTTGCGCCTCAACCACTTGTTTTTTTTAATAAATATTTTTTTAAAATAATACTAAAACATGATTTTAATATTTGTTGTTTAAAATTTAATAATTCTTTTGTTTCATATTTTAAAGCTCTTTTACTATTAATTACTTATACAAATTTTTGTATATTTTTGTTGATCATACAGCTTATGATAATTATATAGTTTTCATTGTTTCATATTGTGAACAACATAATGGTTAACACATAAATGTTGTTTCACGCTATGAAATAGAACATGGCCGTTGACGAAAACAATAAAATGTTGATTTACATTATGAAACATCACAATATGAGACGATGTAGTGTCTTTTCATAATGTAAAAACAAGTGCGTTGATTTGAAACATGACGTAAAATACTGAAGTTATGTTTCACATAGTGAAACAAGATAGAATGAAACAACTTAGTGTTGTTTCACAGGATGAACAAATATTGAGTTTTTGTTTCATACATTGAAACAACACATGATTAAATTACCTTCAATGGTTTATATGAAAGTTATAAAGATTGAAAAGTCTAAAAATTAATAATGATATCGATTTTAAATAAAAGAAAATAAGATTTCGCCTTTATTTGATATAATTTTATTATTAAATTCTATTTGTAGTCAAACATTTTTAATTAGAAACTAGTGTTTATTTTAATTTTAAAATAAAATATATCGTTTACATAATTCAATGAGAAAATCATGTCAACACCGTCATTTTTGAAAATATTGTGTTTAAATTAACCCTTAAACTTGCTGAATTTACAAATATACATATAAGTTAATGACCATCGATTTAAATCTAATTACACGGTTGAGATCATTTTTCAAGTTCTCAACTCTTGTTTGATCCTCACAAGATTTAATCCTTATATATAAAGATATAATAAAATGAGAACTACATATATTATGAAAGATTGTTTCATATTATTTTTTCCATCTAATCATTATACTTTAATGTTCACAAATAAAAAATAACGTATGGAAACCATTTATTTTAAGACAATGTTATTACGAAATCTGGAAAATGCTAACTTCATGTGGATTTTCTTTTATTTATTTTAAATACATTTTTTTTTATTTGTTACAAATTTATCTTTCCTATTTAGATGTAGGCTTTTTAATATCTACATCTATAATTTATATAATCAATTTTTTGATCAAAGCATAACGTATTTTTTATTTATATTTTAAGAAAAAAGAAAGAGAAAATTACAAATTTAGTCCCTATGGTTATACAAAATTTTGGATTGGGTCCTCAAAACAAAATAATTGCATGTATGGTCATCGTGGTTTCATTTTGTTATAGATTAGGTCCCTTGCCTTAAATCTGTTAATTTTTTGTATAATTAACTCAACGGTAATTAAGTCAATATATTAATGGGTTGCTTTTTCTTAAACCTACGAATTATAGCCATGTATTCACTGGAGCTCAATCACCATCTACATTTGTGCTCTTCTCATGTTCCTCACTTTTATGTTCACTTTCTCTTTTTTCGAACCCAACAACAATTTCATCTTCGACCATCAATCTTCATCAATATTGACTGTATATTTGTTAGAATCACTCCAATTTTACATGAAACTAAGATCTAATTCATTGGCCTACAGGGGACAGGTACACTCTATACACAAGGCCTAATACCCGTGTCTCTGAATCGATGACCACGAAAGTAGTTAAATTCTTCACCCGAAGCTTCCACATGTCTGGTTTAGCTATAAAATCAGACCTTTTGTTCATTCATCTTTAACTCAATTTCAACAATAGATTCCTTTGATGATTTGTTCTTGAAACTCATTCGAGGGTACAAAAAAAGGTTGGGAAATGGAAGTAAACTTGTCGACGACGAGTTTTGACATGACATGGTTCATGAAAAATCGGGCAAGGGGTCAAAAAATGAAGAGCAATAATTCAAGTTTCAACAATAAGTTCATTGAGATGGACAAATTTAGCACCCTTTCATCCACAATTCAACACTAATGGTCGAAGGTGGTTGGAGACGGGCATGGTCATCACTTTCAGGTGATTTAATTGTAACACCCTTCTTTTTCCCATGAGAAATGTTACGTAATCTAAAATAAATTCTCTAAAAGTACACCAAAATGACAGATAAATTAAAACCTTAATCCCTTTCTCAACAGAAGTCTTCAAAATACATGAACATGAAACTTAAAAACCAACTCGTCCCACACACGGTTAAGTTACAACTGACCCATTGCTCGTCAGTTTATTCAACCTTAGATTTCAACACAAAAATAGAACTTGGCGCAAGTATACACCTCGAACTACTGTCGTCTCGTAACAAGTAATAATGGTAAAAAGTACCAAATATCGTTCCCACAGAGATAGCTTGTAAAGTTATTTCGAAAGTCCAGTTTATAAAAATTAACTTCAGATGGCGAAACGAGGGATTTGATTTATCTAAAATTGGGAGGTTTGATTAACAACTAAGAAAATATCAATCTTAAAAGGAAGCACATGGTGCAATAGTTGATTAAGACATTAAACAAATGATTCAGCAAAAAAGTGACATAGCATTCCTGTCACAATGATCTAAAATCAATAACTGATTTTATATAACTATGACAGTATCAACTATCGGGTCAGACGGCCTCCCAAGAGCATACACCGGTCAACGTGCTATCGATACGATATCATTTATGTTAGACGTCGTGAATCCTAGCACAACACAGTGTTACCATCCTACATCGTAGGAGTATAGCGTTTGTCAGACACTAAAGCTATAGCCTTTTCCTATTACCTCAGGTTTTGAAAGTCAATACATTTTTATACACAAAATTAGTTGTCAATTAATTTTAATGTAATTATCAAATGAAATATTAAGCACCTGAAATAAATAGCAGACTATAATACTAATAAGACACCTTTGTACTTTCACATCGGCTTTGGTTTTAATTTCCCGTTACACCCCAAGCTAAGGCGTTAGCCTATCATCGCTCGGTTTCTTCTCTCGAAGGATGTAAGGACTGAAAAATAAATAACGATACTGAAAAATAAATTACAGAAAGTAAATTACAGGAAATAGAAATACTGGAATGTAAAGTACTGGAATTTAAATGACAGAAATGTAAATTGCGGTAAAGTAAAGACAGAAATGTAAATGACTGAAATATAAATGACTGAAATATAAATGACTGAAATATAAA